GTCGGCAGTCCCTCCCGTCCAAACTGCAATTGTGTTGGCGGCTTTTTCTACCGCTGTGGGCTCCTGCGGCCCAAAGGCTCGCGGTCGGCTCCTGTTATCCGTCCTCGAGTTGAGTATCTGATATATCTTGCCGCAGGCCGCATTAACAATACTCCCTGCAGTCTTCTTTCCGCCTCGGCCGTCGGCCAGAGTGAGCATTTGAAGCCGGGCCTCAAAGTCAGCCAGTCGTTTGTTGAAGTGAAGGTCCAGTGGCGGCACCCATGTCTCCGTTTCAAGGTTCCGAGTGGGTGTGGACTTGAAGGCTCCTGCCACTATCCGTAGACTCTTGTTTTGAGCTTTTCCAAGCGCCTTGCTGATCCCTCTCGTAACGCTTATATATATACAGCGCTGCTCTCTCTAAGTGGTATATCATCTCGTATTTTCCCCCTCTCTTATATGGCGGGGCGGGCGGTGTCAGACTCCCATTGATAGGTAGCTCCTACAGGGCTTTAAGCTTAACTTCTCATTCCTCTCTAGTGCCTAGTTAAGGCGCTATCTATTGCTATCGATATCCTAGTAGAGTATACGCAGTGTTATAGCGGCATCTCCGTTACTACCCTTAATCCCTTAGCGTCGACTGTGGTAGACTCCTAGGTAGCTAATAACTACCTACTAAGTAGCTAGGGTTGCGGCAAATATAGCCGGTTTGCTAGAGCGCTATATCTAGGTAGATAGGTTAACCCGTTCGACTAGCCCGCCTTATATGGTCCGATAGTCGTCTAGCCTTTACTAGATACAGTGGGATTCCAAAAGTCTGTTACCACCCAACCCACTTTACGCGTCTCCTCGACGCGTCCACTACCACCCTCGAATTTTCACACGACCACAACTTCCCCGAATGACACTCATATTAACCGATTTGAGCTGCATCTTAACGGCTGATCGCAAGACCACAAAGAATTGAGCCCTGCTGTACATGCAGCCATTTGCGGTACGGTCGCAGCTGGGGGTTAGCTAACGCACCGTGGCAGCCGCGTTCGGCGTATCATGTGTCGTTGTGTCCAAGACTATTCAACGCTTAAATTACCATATCCTTCAATTCCAAGCCGAGGATCGGCCGGCCTTAGGTTCTTACCCGACGAGATAAGCGGTATGTTGTTCAGGTAGCCAAGCGCAATGCCCCGCTTATACACAAACAGCTCCTTAATGTCCCAGACCGGAAGGTGTCAAGCTCGACAGTCCGTCGTGCTCTTCGCGAGCACAACTACCGAAAATGGAGAGTATTGACGCGAATACCACTTTACGATCGAAATGGCAAAAGGACTGGTAAACCTTCGTATATCATGTGTTGGAAGATATCGAAGATCTCCTTCATGTAAGTTGATTGATAATTTCTCCTCTTCAACGTAATTTTAAATATAACTGTTGCTAGAGTTTGTTTAGCGATAAACCTCCTGCTAAAACAATATGAGGAGTCCAAATATATGGGTTGTCGGCTATTTCGTAGAACTAGAAGCTAGACTTTATCAATTTCTTAAAACTATATTAACGTACTTGCATAACGAGTGGCGCAGCATAACGAGTGGCGCACTTTTTCTTAGACTTCACCTTGTAAGTCAATTCAACCACAACACCTCAAATCAATTGAAACTACTCGGAATCGCTTTCCTCACGCGTCTCGCAACCTACTTGACAAGTTCGTACGTTATGGCCGGGCTTCTTGCAGTTGCTGCAGAGCCGAACGTGCGGCTCGCCTGCATTCGTACGAGCACCACTCCCAGACGTTTCCTCGCAATCCTGACCACCAAGTCCCCGGTCTGCCATCAAAACCATCGCCTCTTGTAAACTAAGTGATCCTCCATCCTGCAAACGTGTTTTTTTGGTCCTGCGTCGCTTGCTTTGCCGCTCATTTGCCGCACGAAGCTCCTTGTTCTCTGCTCGGAGCAACACCATCTCATGCGCCAGTTTCGAGATGCTC